GGTCGGTACAACGCTCGCCGTTTTTAGCGCACGTTCAGCTTTGGTTTTAGTTTTAGCGCTATTTTTACAGAAAATAAATTCTGAACTTTGATAAAATGACAAGAACATTATCATTGCCGATATCTCCTGGTTATAATGTAGTTCTTTTTTCAAAATATTGCATTGTTTTAGCTTAAAAAAAACTTGAAATATGCGGCTTTTTTTGCGAGAGCTACCGGCGCTGCGTTAATAAAGAAATGGCTATGTACGTCAATCAAAAGACAGTATTTACGATAGTCTTTTGTTTATACGGAGTATAGAAAATGTGTTTACTACCAGTAGTATTTGTGCGATTTTTAAAATTATTTATTATTAAATAGAGGGAAACGCGACCGAAAAGAAAGGTCAAAAGTTAGTAGAAATCCGGATAAATGGAAGCGCAATATTTCCAAAAAAATCTGGTGACGAGGTAAAATTACAGTCTATTGTGGTTATGATTGACGTATAGTCTGTCCAACGAGAAGATCCTTGACAGTGATATATGTGTCTGTCATTTTCATTTCAAAGTAGTTTATTTTATTTTACAAAGAAATAAGTTGGTACAACTGGAACACATAGCAGGAAATTATTATATTTAAAATTTGACTGACAAGTGATTACTTCAAAATATTGTGAAAACTGTATAAAACTGAAAAAATGTGTTCGAGTTATTTAATTTAATAAAAAACGGTATGTGTTAATACAAAACAAACAAGAACAAGACACCACATACCAAAAAAATATAAAAAAGAACTATTTCTTACTTTCAAGCTTTATGAAACTTTCCGCATTTATGATTATATTTATTAATATAACTTATGTACAAATACAAATTTATATACAAAGTAATATTCCGCAGGAATAAATAAAACAACATAAATAAAACAAACTATTTTATAATTAATAACACTTACCAAATTTTATAGGTACCTTAAAGGTTGATTAATTAACTTTAAACCAGTACCTTTGGCATTATTTTTCTTGTGCAGTACTAAAATCCATTATTTACGTATCGTGTGATGTCGATATTTTACAGCTACTCCAGTTTTTAGTATGTGTTTAGTATGGTCCTTCTACCATATTCGAGATGCACTTATCTACGACGAGATGGTAGGTATACGAACTTTAATGATGGTAACTTTATTGATGTATAAGACATTTTGCCTGGGCAGCGAGTATTAACCATAAACTGTGCTCTGGGTCTACAGTTAATTTTCACTCGATTTTTCCTCCACTTGACTTCAAAAGACACAAAACACACGTAATAACACGAATCAAAATGCATCATCTTCCAAAACGCAGGGTATTTGAAAAAAACTGACAAAAGTTGACACAAAATTATAACCTCTAATTTGGCAAGACTTTGACAAACGTCAAAAATCTAAAGGCGAGTTCATACGCATCGGCGTCCGTTTGTCGTTCATCGTTCCGTCAAACCAATAAAATTGAAATACGATCTGTCATTTTTGAAATAAACCAATAAAACTGGTTAAAAACAACAAGGGACGACGCATGACGGATTTATATTTAAACCCATCCATAGTTAACTAAATAGGAACCCTGGGTGTATCAGGGACAAATTAGAGGTTTGTCTGGAAAAAATTCAAAGGTAATATATGATAACAGGCAGGAATTTCCCCGAGCCTGTATTCTTATAATAAAGGACATTAACTACACATGTGTTTCAGAATTTACAACCCGAGATCTTGTTCCTATCATGGTTCAGCTTAATATCGAGGATTGTAGTAAAAACATCGTGATTGCCTCTGCTTACTTTCCGGGTGACGGGGAGGCACCGCCTCCGGAGGTACGGGGAGCTCGTGCGATTCTGCAGCCAACGGCGACTACCTCTGTGGGGGGGGGGGGGCACTAACACTAACACTAGAGGTGAGTGTTTACTTGAATTTCTCTTAGCATGCAATCTTGAAGTTCTCAATGTAGGGAACAGCCCCACGTTTGTGACAAAAACGCGGGCAGAAGTGTTAGATTTAACAATCGGTTGGTGCTGGTGTAATCAGTTACGTGAAACAATGGAGGGTCTCAACGGAACCCTCCCTATCAGATCACAGAATCATCGAGTTCAAATTAGGAGGAATCACACCCCAAACAGAAACTCGAAGGAATCCAAGAAAAACAAACTGGGACATGTATAACACCAATCTCGAAGACAACCTAAACCGTATAGATGCAAGTAGGGCCAGAAACCATCTGCATCTAGAATGGTATGCAAGGGAAGTCAGCGGTGCAATATTGGATGCATATGAATCTAGTTGCCCCGCAAGTAAAGGCATACAAAAAAGTAACAACAAGCCCTGGTGGAACAAGAAGTTGGCCAAACTTAGATCGGAGGTCCGACGACTCTTTAATAGAACTAAATCCAGTGGCGAATGGCAGCTCTACAGCGAGAAATTAACTGAGTATAAGAAGGAGATAAGAAGGGCAAAGCGGTCTGACTTTAGATCCTTTTGCGAAAACATCACTTCTACTCCTGATGCAGCTAGATTACACAAAGCTATGGCCAAGAGTGGATCTATCCCCAACATGGCGCTTAAGAAATCTGACGGAAGCTACACGGAGGGAGAGGAAGAGAGAGCAAATCTCTACTTTTTATACACACTTTCCAGGTAGCATACCTATTGATACTTATGTAGCTCCCACTGAACCCCACAATCCTTGCAGGGAAGATTGGGAAGTGGCCAAGCTAGTAATAACAGAACAAAAGCTGAAATGGGCGATCGACACCTTTCAGCCCTATAAAGCAGCAGGAGTGGATGGGATCTTTCCTGCCCTTCTAAAGGAGGGTCAGCAAATAGCTACTCACCATCTACTAAGCATTACAAGAAGCAGTCTAGCGATGGGATATATACCAACCACATGGAGAAGAGCAAAAGTAATCTTCATACCCAAAATAGGCAAAACTGACTGGACAAATCCCAAGTCATTTAGGCCTATTTGTCTCACATCGTTCATACTAAAAACGCTGGAGAAAGTAGTTGACAACCATATTGGAGAAAATCATCTAAAGGTTAAACCACTGCATGATAGTCAGCATGCATATAGAACGGGCAGATCCACAGAAACTGCTCTGTACCAATTAACGGAGCTAATACAGACAAGTCTGGATAGCAAAGAAACAGCAATTTGTGCCTTCTTGGATATTGCGGGGGCGTTTGACAATATACCACATAAGGTGGTCAGGCGATCTCTAGAAACAAGAGGGGTGAACAGAACTATTATTCGCTGGTTTTGGGAAATGCTGTCAACACGAACAGCAGAGGCTCAGATGGGCACCAAAACTGTAGCTGTTAAAACAACGCAAGGAACTCCACAAGGTGGAGTAACCTCCCCTTTGCTGTGGAGCTTGGTGGTGGATGAACTACTAGATGAATTAACTCTAGAGGGAATACACTGCATTGGGTATACAGATGACATAGTCATGATCGCTCGGGGGAAACATGAAGGCACCTTGTGTGGAACAGGGATCGGAGTGTTTGGGCCGAGAGCTAATTACTCCGAACCAATGGGCACTTACCCTAGTATCCTACAGGCAGAAATCTACGCTATCGAGAGATGCGTACAACTTATCTTAGATAGGAACTATCGGAAACAAGAAATAGCCATCTTATCTGATAGTCAAGCAGCGTTAAAGGCGATCAACTCAGTATCAATCAATTCGAAATTGGTCAAAGAATGCATAGAGAAGCTGAATAAATTGGGCAAAGAAAACAAAGTCCTCCTACTCTGGGTGCCTGCTCACCAAGGGATAGAAGGCAATGAAAATCCAAATAATCTAGCTAGGAAAGGAGCGAACACTCCACTAACTGGACCAGAACCGTTCTGCTTTTCAAGTGGTAACCAACTCAAGGCGGAACTCAAGAACTTGGAAGATTCCATCCGCAACCTGGAATGGAAATCTTGCAACGGTCTAAGACACTCGAAGAAGTTTCTGAGGGCTTATATCAAGAAAAATCACAGATCTTCCTGGGGTCTGAGTAAAAACAATCTTCGGATTGTCACGGGGTTTTTAACAGGACACTGTCTCCTCAATGAACACCTCAGTAGATTGAAACTAAGAAGAAACGGCGAATGCAGATTCTGTGGGGAAGATGGTGAAACACCAGTACACCTCATCACTGAGTGCGCCGAGACGACAACCATTCGTGCCATGAATTTTGGTAAGACTGATATTGGAGATGGAGAACTACCCTCTATAAAACCGTCCCAGATACTGGCTTTTGTCAAAGCCCTGGGACTGTATGATGAGTTATGATTCAAGAAAGGGGGACACAATGGATCTGTAAGGTCGAAGTGATTAACCCCCCTCCCACTCATTCTAAATTCTAAAAAATAGTTAACTTAAAAATTGTTAGAAACTTTTTTTAGTAAAATAAATAGATTGGTATGGGACGTCATCTGCTTTTTTTCTGTCATCGTCTGGCGAAATCTTACCTGAGAAAAAAAAACAGAATACACATAGCCATCTTTTTATTAGCGCAGCCATCTTTTTATTAACGCAGCTCCGGTAGCTCTCGCAAAAAAAGCCGCATAATTCAAATTTTTTTTAAGATAAAACAATGCAATATTTTGAAAAAAGAACTATATTATAACCAGGAGATATTGGCAATGATAATGTCCTTGTCATTTGATCAAAGTTCAGAATTTATTTTCTGTAAAAATAGCGCTAAAACTAAACCCAAAGCTGAACGTGCGCTAAAAACGGCGAGCGTTGTACTGACCATTTTTTTATTTATACTCGTTATTACTGCTAACATAAACCGATAGACCTAAATTTTGAATATGTTGTAACTAAATGTATAACTAATTAAATGATAGTATTCATATTTGTCAGTTTTAAAACTTATAAGAGATTTTTATCTCAAAGCTATAATATGCTCAGGCAATGTAAACAAATCGAAAATATAAAAAATAATTCAGTTATTTATAGTTCTTTTCAAATCAGATTACGACCTGATACTGTTTCTCTTTTAGTATACATATTCAATCACATTCTTTATTGTTACAAATTATAAATTAAACAACCTTATAAATAAAATGCAAAGTATATAATTAGCTACTCGTTTACTTTCTCGGTCGACCCTTCTGTACTTCGTGATGTTTGGACCTCGGGAAGTGTGGTAACTGAAGGTTTCTGGAAAGTTGTTACTGGCGGAGAAGACTCAGCTTGTCCTGGTCTACGAATACTTGCTCCAATTTGAGCTGGCTTCAGTGTAAACAAAGAGCCGAATACTATATGTTGAACTAATGGAAATTTGCACAGAACCTACAATAATTTCACTTAATTAAGTTTAACTGATATTAATAATTTTATTTTGTTTTAATTATAATTAATAACATTATGTTTCAATAATAAGAATATCTTCTTAAATTTAGATCAACAACTAACTACAATTATTGATCTTATTACATTACACTCTTTGTCCGGTAAACGTGACTGTACAGGGTGTCCCATTTTGATTGAAATCATACAGTATCTCCGTTATTAGTAAAGATAGGAGGATGCCCCCTTTGTGATTCTGTACTACTTTTTTGTCAAACGGAAAATGCTGTAAACAAAATTTTCATAGCCCTCTTCGTTTCTGAGCTACAGGGTCTTTTCGAAAATTTTGCAATTTGGGACCGTATCTCCGTTATTGTGGATGACATCGAAAATGTGAAAACTGATTCTTGTAGAACTTTTTACGTAGAATACAGTGGCGTAGTCTGTTTTTCTATGAAAAAAATATTTTTGAAAATATGAAATAAAGTTATATTTTTTCAAATGGAACACCCTGTATATTTATAAATCATAAGATCCGACTTGCTATGAGCGTCTCAAAAATACATAACACTCTATATTTATTTTCACTATTTACTGCAATATTTAAAATACCGGGTGCGTCTCAAAAGTGGCTCACCCCTATAACTTTTTTTATTTTTTCAGATGTTGGTATATGACATAAATTAGGATTGATTGACGTACTCAATTGTTTTCGGTCACTTCCTGTTTCACCGGAAATGACTACAACTTTTGATTTTTAAATGGCACCCTCGGTATAGTAAACGTCACGAATGTTTGGGAGTGATTCATCGCTTGATGAAGTTAGAATCGACACGCGCGCTATCATTTTTACAATTAAAACGTAAATTTTTACCGCAGACGTAGGTTTTGAAGGCCCGGTCTAATCATCTACCTGCGCTCCTCCTACTTATTCTAAAATGTTAGCGTGATTGACAAAGACGATACTATATCGCGTTTCTTTGATTGATTCGTTTTTGTGCGTCAGTCCATTGGTGTGCTTGCAGTGCGACCAATGGGGCATTCCATTTTATATTTATAACCAAATATATGTTTTGACAAGACTTTGACAGTTAAAACAACAAATTACAACAGATTATATATTGATTATTATAATCATTTGAAACACCACGGCACTGAAATTAAGTTTTATGTGACCTTGAATAGATTAGTTCACATGGTATAGAGACCGATAAATCACTCCCAAACATTCGTGGCGTATACTATACCTTTATTCAATAGAAAATAACACTCTGAATCGAATGACATATCATATGTCAACTTGTGACATATCGGCTGTGTTAAAAACACTAATTTTTAATCAAGGAGCCTTGGAAAAATAGATATGATCGTCTAATATTTTTAGTGTCTTGTCCTGACCGGTTAAAAGATGCCCAAATCGTATTTTTAATCATATCTCAATTTTTTCAAATGAAACAAGGGTGGCTCATTAACATATTTGGAAAAGGCATTTTCTTACGAATAATTTGATACCACACATTGGTATTTCGAATCAAATTGTCGTTATGAACCGGATGTTACAAAAAAAACTTCGTAGTTATGAAGAGAAAGAGCTAATAATTATATCCTACATCGTATTTTTTCGAGTAATTTGGAGCATTTTGTATTAGCTTACCTATAATGTGATTTTAGATTAAGCAGTTCTTAATTACATCAAAGTCTTTATTAGATAAATTAATTTGATGATTTTCATTAATGATCGGCCTGTTTTTATTCAAAAGTCTTCACGATTCTGAAAGTATACATTACTAAAAATTATACGAGTGAAATAATTATAATTAAAGAAAAAACTTCTGGTATTTTGATTTTTTGTCGCTCTTGGGAACTTCTGCATCACTGTGCGGCGTGAAATAGCATTAGTTGGACAGTTTTGATTCATGCCGTACCGAGAGGTGCTGTCGGAAATTTAAAAATCGGCAGAAATGCATCAAGCCTATATGAGCAGCATAACATATTAACTGCAGATTAAATCTATTCACTATATTTATATACTCCACATCACGGACACTTCTTTTGAGTTTCTCCTTATCATACTCCGTTTTATTCAACAAATGGTTGCGGAATCAAGTATAAATATATAAATATCACTAATTACTAACCTCTGCTTTATACATTTTAATAAGTCCACCATTTATTTTTGACCAGCTTGAGACTCCACTAATGCTCCAAAGTTGGTTGGAATGTTCAGCAAATGGTCCTGATTTTACTTGGTTTATATACTTTATACAACTCATGAATAAAAATTCATTACAATAGCTATCAACAATATCAGGTTTCAAAAACGAGGTTGGGTCGAGTTTTGGATGAGCTAAAAGAAGTGCGTAAAATTACAGATCGCTTTGATTTTACTTAAACTTTCAGCAAAATGATAGCAATTATAGCGTTCTATTAGAAAACGTGACGTAAAAATAAAATGAAAATTAATGATATTAGAAAGTGAAAATTAAACCCTTGACGTTACACTTGGATTTTTTTCTGCACGTCTATATTTTCAAAAAGTAACCAGGTTAAGTAGGCACTAATTTTTAACAGATAAACAGTTCTTATCGGAAATTACATTACACCATTGATGACAAACCACGACACCCTGTCCGACATTTTTTTTAATAAAAAAAATGGTAGCCAACGTCCGCGAAAACCTCGATGACAAAAACCTTTATCTTTAACATTAACAGAGGTATTCACCAAGGACAGCGAAAGTGGAATATTTTTACGATAATTTGTGATAAACTCACAAAAAATAAGAAATATATTTTCCTTACTGTATATGTTCATACAAGTTTTTAATAATAAAATATGAAATACCTATTAATTGTGAACTCCCCCAAATAAATGGAACAAATTGATAATCATCCAAGCTCCATACTCCATGGCTTCCTGCAGGCTCCATTCGATAAGTTTGTTGTAAATTTCTTACTAAATTTAAATACCTAGAAAATAAGATGAAACCACATTCTATAACGTTAAAAAGACAATATAAATGAGGCATTGAGTTGCACAACCCGCCTTATCCCAAAAACCTTGTCTCGAGATAATAAGCAAAAACTGTTTTAGCAAATGTTTGAAGCGATATTTTACAAAAAACATGTCCACTAAGTGGAATCATTGTTTTGTATCTGATTTTTGTAGAAATAAAAATTACTGTTTAATTTTTAAAGAGAAAAAACACAAAAATAATTTGGATAAGGCGGGTTTTGTTGCAGTATGATGCAAATAAGTACTGAATAGCGTCTACGTCCCACTAGTCTACTCTCGTGCAGCTAATCATTGGGGAGGGATAATCAAATTATAATTGATATAAAAAAAGAAATTTTTCATAGCGCATATGAAATGCCTTATGCTTTGAAAAATAAAGTTAAAAATGAGTTAATAAAAATGGTAAAGTCGAGTATATTAAAAAAAGTAAGTTTTAGTAACTGGGCAAGTCCAATTGTGATAGTACCTACGAAAAATACTGAAGAAATACAAATTTATGTTGATTTTAAAAAAAACGTTAAACCAAGTCTTAGATTCTGATCATTGTGCTTTACCACGTTAATGGTTATAAACACACATTTAGGTTTGTTCGCTTATACTAGATTAACTTATGGAATAAGTTCAGCTCCAGGTATTTTTCAAACAGTTATGGATAATATTTTATCTGGCTTAAAAGGCACTAAATCTTATTTAGACGATATTTTAGTTTTCAGACCTTCTTATGAAAATGTTGTTAATGTTTTTAAAAGACTTGATTTTTATAATGTAAAGGTAAATAAAACTAAATGCAAACTTTTTCAAACTAGAGTAGAATTTTTATGATATATTGTCGATGTTAATAGTATTCATCCTACAGAAAATAAAATTAAAGTTATAAAAAATTCTCCTATGCCTATATCTGTAACAGAACTAAAATCTTATTTAGGATTGCTTAATTATTATTGTAAATTCGTACCCAAGTTATCCTCAAAATTAAAACTGTAATAGGATAATATCAGCTTAGTATAATTTTATCTTTTGGGTTTGTTATTCTACGACAGAACCATTTCAGTTTACGAAGTTATCAGTCGACATATTCAAACCAACTTTTAAAGGCCTAAGCCAATAATCTAATGATATTAAAAGACACATAAACTGTCTAAAAGTATCCATATATCCTGAGAAACTAACTAAGCAAATAATACATTCTTCTAAATATTTTAAAATCACAGAAACGAGGGTAAAGTAGAACAAACATTCATCCCTTATTATCAAAACTCTATTTGACAGAGCGGTACCAGTTGTGTACCATATGGATATCACAAAATAAATAACGCAGAAAAAGCACGTATGCATGCTTTAGGAAATAAGTAAAATTAAAACATTCCCCCGCTAGAGGTTTTACATTTAAAATTAAAAGTATTAAATATATGTTTTGTATGAATCCAAATGTTCACCAGATGTATGTCTGAAAATGAAAGAAATAGGATTATCTTTTTTTCCGTTCCCAGAGTTAAATAGAAATGGACCAACGAGTGAAGAAATAAAGATTTCATTTCTAGGCGTTTTTTTTTAAGGTAATCCTATGGCATGATATCATTTGTATTAGTTAAGGCTTAGATTATGAATGTTATTAAGCAAATTAGTAAAAGAGTAATTACACGGAATGGTTTGAAAATTACAATTAATCAATAAATAGGACATGCTGATGCCCTCTCGGGATAAGAACCAGGAACAACGGTGAAAGAAGTCTAGGGATCTACCAGGGAAGGGACCCTTCGGCCAATCAAAAAGGTGCGAAATATGTATTTGGATTGGTATTCGAAGGTTCCTCAAACAGAGGCGTGCCGAAAATGTAGTAACGCCTGTCCGAGATAGTGCCGGCATCAGTATTTTCATCTTAAAAATTAGTTCGGTTCTGACTAAATTAGACGGTTGAATTTACTCCGTGTAGATCTTATATTATCTAGTGGTCTTTTTAATTATTTTAGTAAGTTAATTCAAGTATTTAATTCTCAAGTTAGTGAATTCTAAACTTTTCATGTATAAAGATATTCATTTGTTGTTTTAGATTTTAATATTTTTTAATATTTTTTAATATTTTAACATTTAACATTTTTAATATTATTAAGGTTGCTATTAGACTTGAATCAGGGCAAATTACAGTACATCTGCTGGATCTGTGTCTATGAAAGGAATGCGGACAAAAAACATTTAAATAAACAGCAATATATTTTATACGTCGACTTGACGAGTACGTCACCGCAAATCGCTCCGCCCACTCATTTTATTGGCCACTTGCAAATTTGTCGAATTTTTATTGATGGGACGCGTCGTCTAATTTTTTACGAAAAACATCGAGAGAATATCGTTTCCCCTCTCACGGATACCGCGTAGCTACAGAACGGACAGACATACTGTAATAAAATTACGTTTATATCATCAAGGAGGCCGAAATCAACAAAATATCAAGAGACAACTTATAATCAGCATTAAACTGCTTACACTATTTCGCTAACAAGAGAAAAAAATGTCAGGGACGTAGATGCTTTTTTTTAGAAAAATATTCCAGTGATAACCCATATGCACGTCCCTGGTGAATATGACGACACTTTTTTAGCCTTAAAATATGTCGCATTTATAGTAACTTTTACCCTCAAAATTTCATTCGATACGCCAAAAATACTTGGAAAAAAAGTATAATAAATCTAAAAAATATAAGACTTTTCCCTGTAGCTGGGAAATTTTTACGTGAGGTATCTCCCCACGAGAGATGGCCCGTTTTTTGAAACACCCTGTAGAAATTAATTTCTGATTATACAGGGTGAGTTTCCTACGATGTTATCTATAGGTATCTCGGAAACTACTGGAGATAGAGTCGGTTAAATGGGGAAAGAATTGCAGTTTTGTGGGGTCATAAATATGCGCTTTTCAGATTTTTGAAAAAGTTCATGGCTTACTAGATATTTGGAAAAAAACAAATTTCGGCTATTTTAAAAATTGTCCCTAATTCTATTATAAGCTATTTTAGACAAAAAGTTTTCAGATAAAAGTTGTAGGTAATCACATCCTTAATGAGATTGTGTCCTCCATTTTATTCTAAAGCCTGTCATTTTTGACATATGACACGAACATATATGTTTTTTTTAAATAGAAACCATAATTGGCCATGACGTCATAAAAAGCGCCATTTTTTAAGCTTTTCAGCAATATAAGTTATAATATGTTTTCTTCGAAAAATTATTGAGTTATAGCCAATTATAGGTCATTGGTTATAGCCAACTCTTATCATTTTTAAACAGTTTCACTTAGTTAGCCATGGAAACAAGTTCAATCGCCGATGCTCTCAGAAATGTGAAGCTGTCACATCCAAATTTTGTAAATTAAAATAAAAAAAATTGTAAATATGAATTTTTGAAATGAAGAAAAGCGTGTAGGATTATTGGTTCAACTTTTCTTGGCCATACATTTTCGAGGATATGTTGACCAGTGAATGTTACGTTTTTTAGAGAACGGTTTTCAAGACATGTTAGAAAGTTAAATTTAGTTATAACCAATTCTTATCTTTCTTGACTAATATCATGTAGATTTCATGGTATTCTTATTCTGTTGTGATTTATAACTTATAAAAAGTCAGAATATATTACTAAAAGGTTCTTTACAATTTACAACTAAACTAAAACTTAAAAAAATAATAACACTACATACACTTTAAGTTATTTTAGAAAATGTTCAAAAAATCCGCCATTGTTTTGAGTTGCATCTTTTTAAAACTGAATTACTACCTATTCTCAAAGAAGGACCGGTCGACTTAATTAAACTTCTCTCATACCGCCACTTTGAGTGCCTTTCTTAATTCATAAGTTGTTTTGTAAACCTTACTGTTAACCATACAGCATAAAAAATCTAAAATGGAAAGGTCAGGTGATCGAGGAGGCCTATGTAATTGGTCCACCTCTTCCTATCCCTGGGTTTGCATAATTATGATATAAATTTTTAACATTTCTTTCATTATAGGGGGAAGTCATAATGAAAGTCATGTTGGACCCACTCTATTGATGCGCAAGTATCTACACGCTTTTCTTCATTTGAAAAATTCATATTTACGACTTTTGTTTATTTTAATTTAAAAAGTTTAGATGTGACAGCTTCACACTTTTGAGAGCAACGGCGATTGAACTTGTTTCCATGGCTAACTAAGTGAAATTGTTTAAAAATGATAAGAATTGGCTATAATTCAGTAATTTTTCAAAGAAAACATATTATAGCTTATATCGCTAAAAAGCTTAAAAAATGGCGCTTTTTATGAAGCCATGGCCAACTATGATTTGCATTTAAAAAAACATATGTTTGTATCATATGTCAAAAATGACAGGCTTTAAGAAAAAGCGGAGGACACAATCTCATTAAGGACGTGATTATCTACAACTTTTATCTGAAAACTTTTTGTCTAAAATAGCTTATAATCGAATTAGGGACAATTTTTAAAATAGCCAAAATTTGTTTTTTTCGAAATATCTAGTAAGGCATGAACTTTTTCAAAAATCTGAAAGGCGCATATTTATGACCCACAAAACTGCAATTCTTTTCCCATTTAACTGACTCTCTATCTCCAGTAGTTTCCGAGATACCCATAGATAACATCATAGGAAACTCACCCTGTATATTAATAACAAGTCTATAATGCTTACTTGACAAAAACCTTGGTTGCAGTTGCAGTAAAGTCATTTTCTTCTAAAAACCCAATTTTATATAAAGAGCATAGAAACATCACAAATGATATCTCATGACCTGTACCATAATCAATTCTAATAGCATTACCAAAACCTTCTTCTAAATACACCATAATTTCAGGAATTGCTCTATAAATGTTAACTGGAAGTACTTTTTGCAATAATTCTATGGCTTCCTGTAAAAAATGCTTAAATACAAAGACTTAGAACTATACTATACTAACCTCTTTTAGTTTATTATACCACATTTTAAAAGCAGCATTACCAAATCGTTGAGGTTGTTGTATAGGAGGAATTTCATCAATCCATTTCTCCAAAGTATCAAGCAGAGCTACAATCCGTTCTACATTTGTTGAGGCAGCTATTGACCCTTGCGAGTTGCTTTTTCCTTGAATTGCATCATTTATAGCATAAATAAAGCCCAAATATTCCTGAAGGTATTATCAGAATAATATAAATTTTTAATAATTAAATATTGTATTATTCACAAAATAAGCTTCTGATTTATCCCATTTTTGCATATCATCAACAGTTTTTACTAATTTCACAGGTGTTGTGAACACATGATGTTCATTTACTGAAAAATATATCAATTAGTTACTAAAATCGAAAGGAGAAAAATCTTACCAGTTATTACACTCTTCGAATGAGTAGCTATAAGGGAAGCCATATCTTAAGTTATTATTTCTATTTTTCTATCACGTTTTCTATGATGTACAAGTTTAGAAATTAAATAGGAATAGGGTAAAATAAAAACTGAGATTAATGTAGTAGAAAACGAGCAAAGAGAAAACATCAATATCACATATCAAAAAGTAATCACAATTCGCATAAATACTAATAAATAATTATGTAGTAATAAACACGTAATAAATACAAAATACATAAATATGTATCTGACATCTGACAGGAATTGGAAGTTAGGCAGGGGACGCCAAATATCGATATGCCACAAAGCGTTATCTATGGCCAGAGAGGCCATAGATAACGGGGGCAGGGTTTGTAGTAGTTTTCTACGTGTATTTTATTTTCAAAAACTATGTCTTTTCTCATTCCCTTCATTAACAACATGAAAACTACTTTAATAAACTAAATATTGTTATTATTATAGAAAAATAATCTTATAAATAAATAGGTAATTTGGTAATGGCAAAGAGTAGATAAGACTTGTGGATCCGGTGGCTGACCTTGAAACGAGTTTTTGCTGCATATAGTCACAGAAACTACGCATGCGCATATCTTTGATGTTGCCAGATTGCAAGTTATTTTGGAATTATTTTCAGTAGAAAACAAATATGTGCTTTTCAGTGTTTTTTTTTCAATATATACCGTATGATCGAAAAAGGGCGTCCAGTTGGCTGGGAAATGACGATTGAGGACATTTTCCATATAAAATGACAGCGATCTTCATTTCATAGTCATCGCAGTCATTCATTTCACAGTACGCGGTATATTATTTATATTATTATTTAAATATTTAGCACAACACGTGAAACGTGAACGCTTATTATGTATTTTCATAGTCAATAAAATTAAATAGAAATAAAACTCTAGATTCCTATAATTAATCTAATTGCTCTAGATTATTATGCTACGTTTCAAAAGTGCTTTATTAAAAATTCGGGAAATTAAAAGAGATGTGACCTAGTTTTTTCTTTTTTTTTAATTTTTAAATGCTGTAGGCTGTAGCTCCATGTCATATTCATAATAGGTTTTTTTTAACATTCCATCAAAACTACGGAGGCCTTAAAAGGCCTTTTAGCCTCCGTAATTAAAATTGTAGAATCAGCTTCAGCAACATTTACAGTTACCTTGTTTAATTCTGCTTATACATATATTGCATTAATTTTTCTGTTACCTTAAGATTTCTCTATTCTTACACCTAATTTATGTGATTTTCTTAGCATAATATGATTTATAAACGATATTTTTCCTAATGGAAGGATGGAATAGGATATACAAAATTAAGATATTTTAACATTTATTTTCCAGACAAAGCATAATATAGTATTAAGATTAAGACATAACAAATATTATAAGAAAGATCTTTAATATAAATCACAAACTAATTACAAACTAATCTTAAGTTGGTCTTGTATAAACACAGGTATAAAACCTTTTATAAAAATAATAAGATCAAAACTCAACCTTCACCATATTGTCAAGGTTTGGCATTATAGGATACAAGAAATTACAGTAAATTAAGAAAAGAATATAAGTAATGTATTCTACGACACAAAACCATCTCCTTCTAACGAGAAAAAGATTAAACATAAAGTTTATTTTAGTCTTATCAACACACTCTTTCGTAAAATTGCTATTAATCCACTAACTTGATATTTTTAAGAAATTATGATACAAACATTATAATCAAAGTATATTATATTAGTAACATTATAGGTAAAATGTTACCTCTATATCTCCCATTGAGGTGTATTGTTTTATAAAACTCGTCATGGTAGTATTTCAAAACATATCAATACATATAATCAAAACTATTGTTGCCTGTAAATAACTAGAAATTAAATAACTTGAAAGAAATAAAATAATTCTAATAAGTTTAAAACCATTAAGAGAAAAAATCCGTAAAAAATTCTAATGTAAATATATAAATAAATGTTATTATTACAATTTTATATATTCATAATACTTTCATTTCACAATCTTCATTATCCTTCTTACCTTAATTTTGGATATCAAGATAAATCTGAAATTATAAAATTAATTATAGAATTTGTATTATTATTGATTAATACTCAAAAAAAAATTTCAACTGCAAATAATTCGAAAATAAACTGCAATTTGGCAACATCGACGATGTGCGCTTGCGTAGTATCGATGATCAAATGCAGCAAATATGGGCTTCAAGGTCAGCCACCGGATCCACACCTTTACCGGTAATTTTGATAGAAACATGCGTAGTCTTTATTTAATTAAAGAATTACCAATTCATAAAAAAAACAATAATATTACACAATATATTAAAATTATGATATACGAAAACACTCAAAACAGTTAACATATCCTAAACAAAGAGTAGATAAGACAAGAGACGACAGTTCGCGCGGTACCTTTCATGTTTGAGTGGTGGGGAGAGTGACCTCGTCTCGCTTGTCCCTTTAAATTTTCGTAATTTTTTCGCGGGAAATTTGAAATAGACTTTTATTAAAATTTGCCTGTATAGCTTATAAATAGTTACTGTATGGGTAAAGAGATAAATAGAAACGAAAAAAAATGAGTTTTCTAAATATTATATAAAATAAATTATAATTAGAAACATATTTGTCGGGGAATAAAGATAACAAAAGCAATACTTTGTATATCGTTGGTAAACAAGAGAAAGCGACCAAGTCGATTTGTAAGAAATGTTTTATTTACGTGTATTTTTTCTACATATGGACTTTTGAACAAGTGTAATATCACAATGTGGAGTTTATGTACAAAAAAATAGAGTTGCTCAATTTTTATTTAATAAATTCTGGCAATTACAAGCTTCTTGTTGTGAACATACATTTAATATGGTTATATGTATATGTATATTCGACAAATTGTATAAAATATTATTTTTACCCTTATTCTACGGCTATGCCTAAAGAATTTAAGGTACGAAAAATACCATCAACATTATTATTCTTCTCAGAAAGATGGGTGATGCAAATAAACAGAACCATTACCTTAAGATGAAATTTGGAAGAAATAGTCATAAATAGTTGCATCATTTTAGTTTTCCTTTGTAATTCGTTTACTTTCAGACTTGATGTCTGGTTTCTATTTACTTAAGAAATGGTCATGTTTGTCCCTTTGCAAACCTACCTGAAAATATTATTAAGAAATAGTAGGTACGCCCGTGGATTTTCGGAGAGGGCATTCTCATAAAAGCACGGTCACAGAAGGGACCGAAGACATTCATAAAAATTTTTCATAGACGTAATACTGCTAAATTTATATTTTGTATTAAAAGTTTAAAAATAAAAAGTAATAACAACTTAGTAAGAATTTAATTATAAAAAAAATAAAGAATAACATTCCCAACAAGTGGTGATACGAGTCAAATAGAGAACTACAACATTTGGTGGCAGCGACTACAAGATTGGTGACGACGGTGGTCCAATCCAGGATCACGACATTGGTGGCAGCGGTAAAACTACCAAGGTTTCCTGAAGGTGCGCCAGACGCAGCAGAAAACCTACCAGTTTTGGAAGAAGATAGAGGCAACGGGCAGTTCTTGAAGGTGCACCAAGAAGCAGCAAAGAAGCCCGACACGAGACGTAGACATTGGGGACACTGAAGGAGCGCCAGACGCAGCAGCAAGTCTCCAGGGAAGCTTTTGTTTTCACCAGATGATGACGGGGTAAGTCTTTCATTTGTTTACTGTATTGTGACGCTACTGTTTTTCTTCTGATTTTAGTTAGTTAGATTTAAGTTAAGACAATAATAATTCTGGGCTGCAAATAACAAAAAAAAAAAAAATATTGCTTAAAATTCGTAAATATTTTTTCTCTCTTCAAACTAAAAATACATCTATAAAATAAATAATAATTCTTAAACTAAAGTAATAAATCATTAATAAAATATAATAATGGCAGGAGGTAAAGACGCAACTGATGTTCTGAATTTAATAAATTCATTTGATGGTCAGGGTGACGCAATTCACTCCAATTTTCTTAAAAAAATTGTGATTCAATATTAAAATTGTCAAAGTGGATCAAAAAAGAATTACTAGTAGATTTAATTTTTGGTACTAAATTAAAAAGGAAGGCACAAGAGGTAACACAATATAAACAGTTTCAAAAATTGGGAAGAACTAAGATTTCTTATTAGAGCACTTTACTGATAAAACACCACCATCGCATTTTCTAACACAAATAATGAATATAAAGCAACATTTTAGGGAAACTGTAAAAGAATATGGCGATAGATTACAAATTCTCTTTAATAAATATAAAGAAACGTGTCACTTAAATTATGCAAATAACGAAGCTACTGTTTTAATAGAAAATTTAAACTCCATTTTAGTCAATACTTTTAGAAAAGGACTCAACGATGAAAAAATTCAAATGCGTATTATTGCCGAAAATACTACATATTTAGATAAAGCTTTATCATTAGCAATTGAAATGGAACTTGAGAATAATGACAGGTTTAAAAACTCGCATTTTAAAAATATAGGTTTTGTAGAGCGTGGAAATAGACAATTAAATAATCATTCTTCTAATAATTCCTGTTTATTTTGTTTTAAAAATAATCATTTAACATCACAGTGTAGACAGCTTAGGCAATACGAACAAAATAGTAACTCATATAATAGAAATGTACCTAGCAATAATCAGACACGCCCACCGCAAAATTTTAATAGCAATAATAATTTTTCAAATAGACAAGACGTAAATACAGTACAATATAATCAAGGACGTTTCACTAATCGAAACTACAACAATCAAAATTTTAATCAGAACAACGACGTGCGTAATTATAATCGTAATTATGGTAACAATTATAACAGTAATAATCCTCGTTCAAATTACAATAATAGATATTCTCAGAATCCAAGAAATTTTAATAACTCACAAGTTCCTCAACGGCAGCAAAATGTTTCGATACCTCAACAATCTCAAAATTTTTCTAATTACAATAATGAATCCAGTACTACCAATTTTAATAGTTCAAATAATAGATCACCACAACAAATTCAAACTATAAATTCTCAGTCGTTAATCAATTCAGCAGATAATTATTTTTCAGAACCGAGCACATCTCAAAATTTTTCGGGAAACGAGAGCGAAGCCTTGGTCGCGAGCAGCCGATTAAGCGCTTCTTAAAATTAGATAATAGCTGTTCTATGAATTACACACTACCTGAGCATAAAAATAAAATTAAAATTGAGCAAAACTTAATTGACATA